TGCTCATCAGCACTCTGGAGAGGTCCATGACAGCATATTTTCCCAATGCAATTAATCTTTTTGATTTCCTGACTGCTGGTGTTAAGAGTGCTGATTCTGGATCTGACCAAGTTGTAATTGTTAACAACCTCAATCTCTTCTCCATCTAACATGGTGTTGCCAAATGGCCCAGAGGTGAGAATCTTTGTCTTCTTGATGTTCAGCTTCAATCCATATTGAAGACTACAGTCCTTGACCTTTTGCAGCAAGTGCTTCAGGTCTTCTTCAGTTTCAGCAAGCAAGGTTGTGTCACCTGCGTATCATAGGTTGTTAAAGATTCTTCCTCCAATCCTGACGCCACAGTCTTCCTCATAAAGCCCTGCTTACCCAATGATCTGTTCTGCATGTAGACTGAAAAGGTACAGGAAAAGGATGCATCCCTGACACACTCCTTTCCTGATTTTTTTTTTTGTTTTTTTAAAATACAAATTTTTATTTTAACTGTGATTTTAACAAAAGTTTACAGAAAAGTTAGATTTTCATTCATTCATTGTTCCTTTCCTGATTTTGAACCATGCAGTGTTTCCTTGCTCTGTTCTAAGGACCAATTCTTGGTCTAAATATAGGTTTTGTATAAACACGATCAAGTGCTCTGAGATTCCCATTTTCCTCAAGGTTAGACATAATCTATTTACATAGCAGAATCAAAACTTGTTGTTGTGGTTTGGGTTTTTTTCTCCCCAATGACTTCACATTTTTACTGACCTCTCCTTCAAACGGTGAACTGCTTCAGTGCCTTAGGACTTTGGTGTCGTTGGTCTCAGACATCACTTTGCCATCTATGATCCTGTGGGTGACAGTCTTGTGGGTGGTCTGTATGGAGTTGCTGCTGTCCAGGACATCAGTCAGACTGAAGTCTTCTCCTTCTTCCAGCAGGAGGCGGTAGGTGTTTATCTCAGCCTCCAGCTTGACCTTCATGTTTAGCAGGGCCTCCTGGGTCTGACGTTGCCCCTCTGTCCGGGTTTGTGCCAGCTCCAACTCCAGGTACAGCAAGACCCCGTAGAGCTGCTCCATCTGCATGGCATAGCGAGTCTCCACCTCCTGCAGGCTGTTCTCCAAGCTGGCCTTCAAGTGTCTAACTGACTCAAGGTCAGTCTCCAAGGTCTAGAACGTGCGTCTCAGCTCTTTGAGCGTATTCTCAGCAGCTCCTACCTCAGCTGACTGAGCAGTGACTACCATCGTGCTCTCTTCAGTCTGCTGGGACCAGTACTTACCAGCTCTTCTCGGTTCTTCCTTGCCGGCTTGTCATACTGGGCCCAGATGTCTGCCATGATCTTGCTGAGGCCCTGAGATTTGGGAGCGTCCACC